TGAACTGAGAAGGTGAACTGTGTCCTATATCATATTTATTTCTCTGTATGTCCGCTCCAGCGTACACAGCAGGATCAAACGGAATACGTTTTGGAGGAGCCGGATAAATTGTATTTTGCCGATGAGGAGAGTTGTAGATCTTATCCTGTGTAACAGCGGGCGAGCCCCAAGCTGCCGGAGAACCCCACGCTGCAGAATTCGGATATCCAGTTTGACTCATTCTACTACATGCAATGCAACTGAGCCTTCAGGGAGAATGGTTCTTAGTTTTAATAGGCTACTAATTAACGCCTCAAACCAAACCGTATTGGCTGAAACCTGATCAGAGCTAATTGGTCAAAATTTGAGGGATAGAACCGCACGGTTGGTCATTTATAGGGTGTGAATACAATTAGATCTGATTGGGTATTTTTTGGATCCCTTAGGAAAACCGTCCTTTAGAATTATTCAATTAGAAAGTTATACTTCAAAACGCCTGCTTAGAACCAATTGTATGGTACATTCTACAGACAGGCAGTATTACTAAAATTCGATATAGAGGACGCTAAACACTGCATGTCTATGAAAATATATACTCCAAATGTGAACTTCAATGCTGTTACAAGCCATATTATAAGACATCCCCTGTAATTTGCCATTTTACAAAATGATAAATAGATCCACTTTGAGCAAATATACCGTGATGTTAAGTCCAATATGCAACAAGAATATCTGCAATAATTGATTTTAACTGCTATCGGTTGGAAATTAACAAAACAATTATTTTAGACGTGATAAACTAATTTAAAGTAACTTTTGCATTCTCTCTGTTTATGTTAATAAGGTCAACACAATGACAACATAAATGTCGTTCTGACTTGTTTAAAAGCAAGAAATATTAATGAATGCCTTTGAGACCCTTAAATTCGAAAAAGTTCATAGCGTTAAATATAAATATTATTTAGTGTCTTACTATCATAGCTTAGCAGCATTTTTGAACATTTGAAAAATAATATTCAACCATTCAAATAATAAAGGGCATGATTTGTTTGCATAAAGTTTTTATTTGTCATAAATATTTTGTGTAATATATATTTGCTCCGAATCTTGGTTTTAACACATTAGCAGTAAAGTTAGCGTCATTTGAACCAATTATTAATCTTCATGTGGAACTAGATTACCCAATTTAAAAAAAAAATATAATAAATTAAATTGTCGATCCGTTTGTTTTGGTTACCTCCTCACAAATATATCATTCTTTGCGAGAAATCGTCTTATTTGTGAAAACCATGTCATTTAAAAGAAAACATTGAGACAACCTTCTATGTTGTTTCCCAGTGACATAAAACATGGTCGGTAAAGACATTATTTATTGAAAAGAATGAGTCACTTATCAACATTTTTTTATAAAGATTTTCTCTAACATATGCTTCTTTCACTATTAATACTTCATCAATTTTTTAATTTTTTTAAGTACATGAAGGAAGTATAAATTGAATAATCATCTATCGAGTAAATGTTTTTTTTTTATTACCGAAATTGTACTTAAATTATACAATACGATTTTGGGAGTCATCAGTCATTTTTCAATTTTGATATGAGTTTTCACAAAAGAATTTAGCATAACATCCCCGGACTTCGACACCGATAGGAAAATCGGTACACTAACATATTTTTCCAATTAGGAAATGCCGACAACCGAAAGTCAACTTACTCGGGATATAGACCTAGACTAAATTAAGTAAAAATAAAGAAGATCAGGGAGCAAATCAATCTAGATGTGTGGTATTGAAAGCAGGGCATGTAATACCTAAACTTTAAAAGTGCTAAAATCCCGTCGCATTCATGCATTTGCAAAAATTTGACTTTTGGAAACAAAGCATGCTTTCACGTGCAATTACTTATTGCATATATTGTAATGTTGGCATTGATCACATTGTCGTGCGGTGGTAAAACGACACTTTCCGTCATGGTATGTGTTTATAATTTTTAAAAATACATATTGGAGAATTAACAGCGTAAAGTAGACATGAGTAGTAATGAAGCAAGTTGCTTGGTCATAATTATACACTTGGAAGTAAAGTCCTCTTTAATCTCAACCGATTGCAGTGGTTATCCATTAGTAACCAAGTTATGCCCTTATTTCGAGTCAATATTCCTTTTGTTCGGATTGTAATGGCAACATATATTTTTTTTTTTATAAATTCTAAGAGAAAAGGGCATTAGATTTCTGAGGGTAACATAATTTGTACAATCCAAAAGAAAATGTCATGCGGTTTCTGAGGGTAACATAATTTATACAGTCAAATAGAAAATGCTTTGCAGTTTCTAATGGTAACATAATTCGTACTAAGAAAATGTCATAAGGTTTTTGATTATAACATCATTTGTACCGTCTAAGAGATAATGATTTATGGTTTCTGAGGATAACACAATTTTTACAGTCTAAGTGAAAATGCTTTATGGTTTCTCGTTTACCCATGCAAATATATTGCTACATAACAAATCATTTTTTAAAAGA